TCAGCTGTTTTCTTCCTGTTTGGAAGGTCAAAGAAAGATTCCTTAAGCTAGAAGAACTTGAAAAGAAGAAGGGATCTTGTATAACAAAGTTGATATTGAATGTGTTGGAAGAGAATGAGCTCGACATAAAAAATTGTCGTGGTCAAGGCTACGACAACGGCGTTAATATGGCAGGTATTTTGCAATGGAGTTCAAGCTTTGATAAGACAGAATAATCCACAAGCAATTTTCATTCCTTGTTCTGCTCACAGTTTGAACTTATGTGCAGTACACGCTATTAAATCATCGGCTCCTGCAAAATCTTATTTTGGAAATGTTCAAAAGCTATACAATCTGTTCAGCAGCAGCCCAGTTCGTTGGAAAATTCTTCAGGAGGAGACAGGCCAATCATTACATAAACTTTCTGTTACACGATGGAGTTCAAGGATTGAATCAGTTAAGCCACTAGAAAAAAAGCCAAGAGAGATCTTGAAATCGTTACATCGTCTAAGAGAGTTAGACCTTCCAGGCGAAAGTAGTAATGAAGTGCATTATCTCATTAAAAAGATGAATTCTTTTGAATTTGTTGTTTTCACTACTTTTTGGTTTAAATGTTTGATGGCAGTTAACAAAGTGAGTCTTTTGCTTCAATCCACTCAACTCATTCTCGATGATGAAGTAAAGATTCTAAATGGCCTTTTGATGGATCTGGATCGAATCCGTCTGTCTTGGGACCTAATTTTGATGGAGGCAACAGAAGTTGCAAAGAACTTGAAATTTGATAAAATAATGTTTACTGTGAAGAGAACGCGAAAAAAGATCATCCCAGATGAAACTGCTGGTTACAACCACGAAGAAGCATCAAAAAACTTTGAGTGTAATGTCTTCAATGTTGCACTCGACAATCTGACTAGTCAAATGAGATCAAGGTTTAAAGTAATAGAAGAGGAATGTAGCAAGTTTTCCTTTCTTTGGTCTTTACAGAAATCTCAAACAGACCAAGAACTAGGTTTAAAAGCTGAGAATCTGGCTAAACTTTACCCAGAAGACTTATGTAAAAACGAATTTTCTGATGAAGTTCGCCATTTTTTTTCCGTAAGAAGAAATATTCTAGCCAGCGAAAAGCCTGTCGAACTTCTAAATGAAGTTTATGCAAAGGGGCTGCGTTCAATATTTCCGCAAGTGTGTGTTTCTCTTAGAATCTTTCTAACATTGCCCGTTTCAACATCTGAAGGAAAAAGAAATTTCAGCAAGTTAGCTATCATCAAAGATTATCTTCGTTCCACAATGGGCCAGGAGCGATTGTGCTACTTGATGATCCTTTCAATCGAATCAGATTTAGCCATTAACGTTAATTATGAAGAAGTTATTTCAAATTTTGCTGCTAAGAAGGCCCGGAAGATGTGTTTGTCAATTAAGAATTGATTTTATCATAGTTTGTTTTTGAAAAGCAAAATTAGATGTGATTTTAGGTTTTTTATGAAAGTAAACTATATTAATTTATTTGCTATTTTAAGACCTGAAGTATGATAGGGCATCCATTAAACTTTTGGACCCGGGCATCACAAAAGCTCTGGGCGGGCCTATATATATATATATATATATATATATATATATATATATATATATATATATATATATATATATATATATATATATATATATATATATATATATATATATATATATATATATATATATATATATATATATATATATATATATATATATATATATATATATATATATATATACCGGTTTTACAATCATGACAACCATTTAAAACAACTATAACATTCATTTAAAACACCGTGACAATCAATTAAAACAACTATGTGATTTTCAATTAAAACATTTAACTCATGCGCAATCTCATTATTCTATATCATTAAAAAAAAAGGTTTTATTTATATATTTATTTATTTAAATTTATTTTTTATTAATATTATATTAATATCTCAGTAAAGCATATACACATGTATACATATTTATTAAGCTTCAATTATTCCATGCCGTTTAGGTACACATTTTCACATGGCCTTAACTTATTGACAAAACAACGAATTTAACGTTCATTTAAAACATCCATGATAATCAACACCTTTTTATTATATAATATTTATTTTGTCAGTAACTGTGCGTTTTGCTGCTTTGGATAGGACTTTCTCTTCATACTCGAAAGGCCGTGGTTCGAATCTCCGTTTGGACAATTTTACTTCTTTTTCTTTAATATCTTGTTGCTTGTATAATTGCTGTGACACCATTCCCCTATTTTTTTTTATAGAAAAATATAAATTTTTTTATATTTCTCAACATCAAACCTCTCAGTGTATTTTCTAAGTAAGGCGCACACGTATACCGGTTTTCGCATTCATTTAAATATGTCATCCGTTTAATTTTAAAATAAATCCCATTAAATTAATGTATATATATATATATATATATATATATATATATATATATATATATATATATATATATATATATATATATATATAAAATGACGAAGAAAAAACAACTTTTTCTATGGTATTTTAAGTTTCATGCCGATACGGCAATCATCAGCCATTGAATTCAATATCAAAAACAAAATAATTAAACCAGGAGTTTTAAATCTTATTCAAATGCTGTTAGACTCTTCTACAGTCAAACTCTTAAACTTGGGACCAAATTCTGCACCTTCATATAAAAAATTAACTTTTATGGAAATGTTAAACCCGATTGAGTCGTTTGCTTTGTATTTGGAAAAACAAAACAAAAATGCTGTCGCAGAGAATATGCGACAAAATATTTTGTAAAATTCTGAAAAGTTCTTTAAAAAAGAAACTACCAAACAATCTCACAAGGTTCGCCTTAAACAATTTAAAAAAGAATTAAGACGATCTAAGAGTTTACCCGTTTCATAAAGGTTCAGGATTTGTCGTAATTAACGAATTAGACGTTTTTAAGAAATTAGATGATGAAATTAAAAAGTCAGTAATTATCAATTATGACCCTACGCAAACCATCACAACAAAATTTCAGAAGATTTTACGTAAGTTGAGGAAAGAAAACAAATTAGATAAAAAAACTTATTTTCAATTATACCTTTCTGACAAAAGCCCATAAACTAGATAAAAATTATCCAATGGGAGCAGTGGTTTTCGCTATTGGTACTCTGCCTTATGCTTCTTTAGAATATCTTGTTAAAATAATACAACCAACTTTAAATAAAAATAAAATAAGGTTACTGAACTCGTCTTCATTTGTAAACGAAGCAAAATCCTGGGTAATTTCCCCTAATAAAAATTCAGGTCTCGTTTGATGTGGTAGCTTTGTACCCTTCGATTCCAATTGATAGAGCAACTCCTTTTTTTATTAGTTATTGACATGCACAACAATGATAAAAAAGATCTTGCGAATAGAACTAAATTAACTCTTACTGATATTCACCAACTAATTGAACTCTGTCTAAGCCAATGCTATTTTTATATAAAAACGTAATTTGAACTTTACTGAAATCTGGCCCTATTGGACTATCACTTATGGTTGTTGTTGCAGAGGCGTTTTTGCAATATTTAGAAACAAAAACTTTGAGAGTTGCAGAAATAAATTTATTCTTACCGAAGTCATTCAAACGGTATGTAGACGACAGCCATGCGAGATTTGATTCACTAGAAAAACACGACAAATTTTTAGAATTGTTAAATCAACAAAATTCCGCAATACAATACACATCAGAAATAGAAAACGAAAGGAATGAATTAAACTTTTTAGATATTATAGTAATAAATACAAACAATTTCCACTATGATTTCAAAATCCATCGAAAATCCGCAATTACGAATATAAAAATAAAACCAAACTCAAACATTAATCCTGCAATAACATCTGTAGTCTTCAAAGGTTTTATATCAAGAGCCTCAAAAATTTGTTCCCCAGAATACCTTCAAGATGAAATACAATTTATAATAAATATTTTTTGTCGAAAATGGCCATAAAAGATCAGAGTTAAAGCTTATAACAAAAAATTATCTCAAAATCAAAAACAATCTTGTTGGTGTAGTTGCAAATCAAACAGAAAACAGTTACATAACAATAAAACTCCCATGGATTCCAAAAATAACATCAAAATTAAGGAAAGAGCTCAAGAGATACGGCGCTAAAGTTATATTTACAACACCGCCTATTTAAAAATAATTTTGTGCAATAACAAATCCAAATTATTACCAAATAGCAAGCCGGGTGTGTATAAGCTTACGTGTTTATGGGGTGGCGTTTATATTTGAGAAACAAAAAAGAAAATTATACAAAGAAGTATTGAGCATCAGGTAAACAGCATGAAAGACAATTGGCATGCTTTCGGAGCCACAAAGCATTGCAAGGACTCCCACGGTATATTTAATTGGATGCACCCAAAAACGATCGCACTTAATTCTAACTACCACGAAAGGAAAATAAGAGAGTCACTTGAGATTAATTATGCCCAAACAAGTTATGAAATAAGACACTTCCCACCGCTTTTGAACGGTGGATTGCGTCAAATAGCTAGAGACCTCTTTTTAAAATATCATAAAAATTTCAAAATACTTTTTCACGTTACGTCAGCTCATCTTTGTAATGTCTTTGTAACGTTTTTTGTGAGACTCATTGTATTTTATTTTACGTCTGATGACGGTCTGAGCTAATCTGACTGAAATACTACATAAATAACTTAAAGATTAGCACTTAGCTGTATTTTATGTGTTATATATTAATAAATAAATACCATAGAAAATTGCAATACGGAAAGTACCATAGAAAATTGCAATACGGAAAAAACCACATACTGAAACTTTTTAGTCCCTGTGTAATAAGTATAAACAAACGATTTTTGACACTAGTCAATTCTAAGTCGTTTAGGTTGAAAATTTGATTACTTAAAAATTTTTTATTACAAAGTGTTCAGGACAATTATACAGACAATATTATGAAAAGAACAAATTATTAGGTGTACGTCCTGATGAGAAAATCAATTTTTAAAGGAGATCAGGGCAACTTTTCCCCCCTCCCCTTGCCCCTTTTATTAAATAAAAAAAAAAATTATGCCATCCTTAGAAAAATCAAGCATCAGTTACATATTCAAAAATTCAATAAAAAATATCTTTGCGTTCAAAAGATATAACCATTTAAAGTAAAACTAGTCAAAGTGTTGTTATCAGGGGCGGATACAGGTTGTAAAGATAGGGGGGGCACAAATGGAGTGGGGTTTAAGGGGAGGGGGTATCCCGCTCCCCTTCTGGGGTCTATAATCAGCCGCCAATGATTTTTAATGAAATGACAACCCAAAAATGGGCAGTTTCCAGTACCCTTTTCTAACTAGTTTTGTTAATATAACATTTGCATGGATCGACATAATTATAACTAAAAAATTAATCAAATTTTAGGGGGGGGGGGGCACGAGCCGGCTGTGCCCCCATCTAAACCCGCGCCTGATTATGTATGTATGTATATGCTTTAGTTAAAAATCCAACATATTTATTATTTATTTGCAATAAAACTAGCATAATTAACATAGTTAACATGCCAAACAAACCAAGGGATCATTTCTCTTCAAGAAAACTTATTTGTGTTTGCTGTGGTGATAACTTAAAATGCATTGAACTGGTAACTGGAAATCCTTAACTAATCTTGATTCAACTGTATGCCAACACTAACTATAATATGACACTTCTTTCCAACCCTATTGGGTTATGTCCAAGCTGCAAGATTTATTTGTATTCAGCTAAAAAAGGAGAAACTTTATCTCTAGTTACTTTAGAGAGGTGGTTGCTCACATCAGAGAGAATAAAGTTACTTCCGAGATTTAAATAATATGAATATAATATAAATATAAGATAATACTTTTACTTATACTTACTTATGCATATAATAAAAGCTATAAATAATATGAATAAACGATCTTTAAAATGTTATGATAATATGAAATATGGAGAATATATATAAATATATATGCTTTGTATGATATTCTATATACTTTATGTATTGTGTTATTTTGTTATAGACTAGTATAATTATAGCTCTTTTGAGCCAACATAATTAATATGGTTATTCTTTACAATCAAAAGAGCTAGAATATTATTATGAAATAAAAGAAAGATGGATCAATTCATGAAACCTGACAGACTTGGTATAGATCCAAACTCAGCAGATGCAGCAAAAACATACAACCATTGGTTAAGAACATTTAACAATTTTGTAAGTACAGTAGATAATAACTTCATTAAGCTTAATCTCCTAATAAACCATATTGAACCTAATGTATATGAATTCATATCAGAGTGTGATGATTTTGAACGAGCAACAAGTATTCTCGAGTCTATCTACATAAAACCAAAAAATGAAATATTTGCCAGACACATTTTGTCAACACGGAAGCAAAAACCAAGTGAAACAATAGATCAATTCCTCAATGAACTTAAAAATTTATCTAAGGACTGTAAGTTCATTGCTGTTACAGCTGAAATGATTCGCGATGCGTTTATAAATGGCTTACTCTCCAATAGTATACGCCAACGTTTACTAGAAAACAAAATATTAGACCTTTCATCAGCCTTTGACCAAGCTAGATCTTTAGACGTGGTCCAAAAAAACTCAAACTTATACTCACAATTGACTATACCTACCTCTGCCTCTATTCAGGAAATCAAATCACCTTTACAAAAACAGTCCATGACTGATAATCACTTAGCTGCTACAGCAAAATCAAAACAATTGTGCTGGTTTTGTGGAAACATAAGACATCTACGTACTAAATGTCCTGCTCGCGAAGCTATCTGTCACAAATGTAAAAAGATTGGTCATTTTGAAAAACTTTGCAGTTCATCTAATGTTTCTGCTGCTATTCCTAAAATTGATGATGATTACTTCTGTGCCACCATATCAGCTTCAGCAAACTCTCTATTCAGAGTTTGTCATAACATCATTATTAATCATAGATATAAAGCAGAAGCATTAATTGATAGTGGAAGTACAAACAAAAGTTTTATAAGCAACAAACTAGTGACTCTACTCCATTTAAATATTATTTATGAACAGAGTGTAATTGGAATGGCATCAGCTGCCTTATCTGCAAAATCAGATGGATATTGTTATGTCTCAATAACTCTTCAAAACAAAATCTATAACAAAGTCAAGTTGCATGTGCTGGATAACTTATGTGTAGATGTTATTCTTGGCACAGATTTTCAAGAGTTGCATGAAAGTATTACCATCAAGTATGGTGGGAAAAGACCACCCATAACATTTGCTGCTTTAATAACAATGAAAACTGAACCTCCTGAATTATTTGCTAATCTCACGCAAGATTGTCATCCAATTGCCACTAAATCTAGAAATTATTCTCAAAGAAATAAATAATTTATTAAATCTGAAATCCATTGCCTGACTCAAGCAGCAATAATAGAGCCTAGTAATTCACCTTGGCGTGCCCAGGTCTTAGTAGTAAATGAAAAGACTAAACGTCGCATGGTTGTTGATTAATAAATATACTCAATTAGATGCATATCCTCTACCTAAGATTGAAACGATTGTGAATATAATTTCTAAATACAAAATTTATAGTACTCTCGACCTTTGCTCAGCATACTACCAAATCCCTTTATCAAAAAAAGATCGACCAGATACTGCTTTTGAAGCTGACAATAAGTTGTGGCAATATACTAGAATGCCTTTTGGAGTTACCAATGGATCTGCATGCTTTCAACGCAAAATAGATGACTTTGTTAGAAAATATAAACTGACTGCTTTCCTTTCATTGATAACATTACAATATGCGGTAATAGTCAGAAAGAACATGATGAAAATCTACTTAAGTTCAGATTAGCTGCCATTGATGCTGGAATTACATTTAATGAAGAGAAGTGTGTATTTTCAACTAAGACTTTAGATTTTTTAGGTTACCGTATATCGTATGGCTCTTTAAAACCAGATCCTCAGAGACTTGCTCCTCTCATCAAGTTACCCCACCTGATAATGCAAAGTCTTTACAGCGAATTATTGGAATGTTTTCGTACTATGCAAAATGGATAAGAAAGTTTTCAGATAAAATTAGACCTTTAAACTCTGTTACTCAATTTCCACTCAATCAGCAGCAAATATCAGCATTTGAAACATTAAAAAATGAACTTGTTCAATCTTCCATGCAAACCATTGATGAGAATATACCTTTTACTGTGGAGACTGATGCTTCTGATTTTGCCATATCCGCCACACTTAATCAGGATGGAAGACCTGTTGCCTTCCATTCACGTACCCTTCAAGGGAGTGAACAATACTATTCATCAGTGGAGAAAGAAGCTCAAGCGATAGTTGAAGCCATAAATCATTGACGTCATTTTCTTTTGGGTCGACATTTCATTCTCATCACTGACCAACGATCTGTGGCGTATATGTATGATTATAAATCAAGCAGTAAAATAAAGAATGATAAAATAATGCGTTGGAGAATAGCTTTGTCTCCATATTCTTATGATATCCATTATCGTCCTGGCCAATGTAATAGTGGTCCAGATACATTTACTCGAGTTAAATGTGCAGCAATAAGTTCAGAATCTTTATATAATTTGCATGCTGCACTTTGCCATCCTGGTGTTATTCGCTACCATCATTTTATTCGATCAAGAAACCTCCCTTATTCAGTAGAAGATGTAAAACAAATATTTAGGGATTGTAGAATATGTAGAGAAATAAAACCCAAGTACTATCGCCCAAATGATGTGCACCTGATTAAGGCGACTCAGCCATTCGAACGTATATCTATTGACTTCAAAGGCCCATTACCTTCTTCAACCCCTGAACAGTATATGCTAACAATTGTAGACGAATACTCACGTTTTCCATTTGCTTATCCTGTGAAAGATATGACAACTCAGACAATAATAAACTGTTTAGCTGATCTTTTTTCAATGTTTGGCATGCCTAGCTATGTTCATTCGGATCGTGGATCCTCATTAATGTCTTCTGAATTAAAGCACTGGTTCTTATCAAAAGGGATCGCAACTAGTAGAACAACCCCTTACAATCCGACTGGAAATGGGCAAGTTGAAAGATACAATGGAATTATTTGGAAGGCAATATTACTTACTCTGAACTCTCGAAATCTGCCTATATCATCATGGAAAAGAGTTTTGCCTGATGCACTTCATGCTACAAGATCTCTATTATGTACTTCTACTAATTGTAGTCTACATGGACGTTTTTTTAATTTTCAAAGAAGATCATCATCTGGGTCTTCAATTCCTTCATGGCTTGTTAACCCTGGACCTGTACTTATAAAAAGAAATGCAATGCAAAGTAAATATGAAGATTCAGTAAATGAGGCTCAGCTCATTGAAGCAAATCCTCATTATGCCATTGTGAGATTTCCTAATGGTCATGAGACTACAGTGTCTACAAAACAGCTGGCTCCTATCGGAACATCTCCTATAGTATAAACATCAAATGACAATTTAGAAATAACAGCTATTGATAACTACCCCTTAACCCCTAATGGTAGCAATGAAACTCCGTTAGTCTCCGAAGAGGAACTAGAAAGCAGAGGGAATCCTATAGAGCAAAGTACTCTGCCTACTCGTAGATCTTCACGAATTTCTAAAGCACCCGAAAAACTCAACTTATAAATACACCTGAACACATTTAAGAGGAGGGTGAATGTTATGATAATATGAAATATGGAGAATATATATAAATATATATGCTTTGTATGATATTCTACATACTTTATGTATTTTGTTATTTTGTTATAGACTAGTATAATTATAGCTCTTTTGAGCCAACATAATTAATACGGTTATTCTTTACAGTTATTATGAATATTTTTAACAGAGAAATAAATTATGACTCCAAAGAAACCAAGAATACTGGAGTGAACAAAGTTATAATATTGGCTTTTGCCAAAAATGTTTGCGAAAGCCACACAAATCTTCAAATTCTTATAGAAAAAACAAAGCTAAACAATTTAAAGTTTTACCTTGCTGCAGATCTTTAATTATGCAACATAGTTTTGGGTTTGTCAGGACATGGGGGAAAATATTCATGTTTATTTTGTGATGGTGATAAAACTAATCTTGGAGAACTGAGAACCTTTAATATGCTTAAGAACACGTATAAAAACATTGCTGAAAGTGGATTTAAAAAAAGCTCTATGCAACTCTATAAGAATGTTATACATCCATGTCTCCTGGTTGAGTCTGGAGAGATGTATGTGCTTGATGTCATCTCTCCTCCAGAACTTCATTTAATGATGAAGATTATAACAGAAATTTCAAATGTCTTCTGTAAGGAACCTGATGTTGCTCTCTGGTTAAAAAAGCATGGAATTATTTGGCATGGGTATAATGGAGGTGGACTGGATGGTAGAAATGTTAACAAAATACGAAAGCTTTTTCCAGATTTGGAAAAATTTATCTTAGATAACTTTTCTTCTTATTATCCAGATGTTGAACTGTTAAAGTCTTTTTCTTCAGGTAAATTTTAAATATACTTAATTTTACAAAATATTTATATATTTAAAATGTTAATTATGGTTTAAAAAGAAATATTTATTGAATCAAAAGCAATTTCTCACAAATGACACTAAAATTTACATTTAGTAGTAAACATGTGTTTCGGAATGAGACTCCATGACGGTTATGCTGATGCCATTGTATATATAAGAAAGTTAAAGGTAATAGTTACATAAATGCATAAACAACTCATACATTTAAAAACAAAGTTTTAAATTTTGTTTATATTAACCATTTTTTAAATTATTAATTGAGGAAAACCAAGAGTATGTGAAGACTACATTCAACCACAATCTTTCTATGGGACGGAAAGGTCATATAATTGAACACCATCTTGTCATGTTTTTAAATAGAACTAAGCTGCCATTGGGAGTATTTTTTGAACAATGTTCTGAATCTGTTCATCATAATATGTTGAAAACACTGAGCAGATTCTCAACTTCAGAATTCAGAGAGAACCATGGAGAGCTTCTTAGAAAGGCAATAGTTAAATATTCAAGTCATAGAATAGTTTTTATTCAAGTCATAGAAGTTTTTTCTTTGCTATTGATTACATAATTATACATATCTTGTATATTATATAGTTTTGAAGATTACATAAATCAGTATATATTATGGATTATATTATACTGTTTCAGAGTATATATATATATATATATATATATATATATATATATATATATATATATATATATATATATATATATATATATATATATATATATATATATATATATATATATATATATATATATATATATATATATATATATATATATATATATACATATATATATAGCAGATGATTTTACATTTTTCCATGAAATAAAATATAATTTTATTATGTTATACAATGTTATACAATAATATTGCAGATTAGGCTTTTATTATATCATGAGTATTACACTATATTTTAATGTAAAGTAAACTTAATTTTTTGTAGTTTTATTTTAAATGGTTATATCTTTTGAACGCCAAGATATTTTTTATTGAATTTTTGAATATGTAACTGATGCTTGATTTTTCTAAAGATGGCATAATTTTTTTTTTTTAATAAACAAAGGGGGGCAAGGGGAGGGGGAAAAAGTTGCCCTGATCCCCTTTAAAAATTGATTTTCTCATCTGGATTTACACCAAATAATTTGTTCTTTTCATAATATTGTCTGTATAATAGTCCTGAACACTTTGTAATAAAATTTTTTTAAGTAATCAAATTTTCAACCTAAACGACCTAGAATTGACTAGTGTTGATTGAAGAGATTGAATAAGGTAGGCATCATAAGTGCAAGGCGTGAAAAAAAAAAAATAATAATAATGGCAATGAGTTATGCTGGAGCTCTCACTTCATCGTCTTTAACATCTAGTACCAAGACTAAACTTGGTATCTTTAATTCAAAGCATGCCGAGGAAAATAGTTATGTTTTATGCTGCAGATATGGAGATCTAAATACTAGCGTGAATGATTTCTTGGCTGCTCTATCTGAAAAAGACTTACTAGAAAATGTATGGGGAATTACCCAACATTATGCTCATAAGTATTTTGAGTTCGCTGTTCACAATAGCATATTAGTTTCTTCATTTTTAAAAGCCGAGATTGTTATCAAAGGTTGTGTGATGAAAATTTAACAAAAATACGTAAAAAAAATCCACGTTTTAGTTCAAAATATACCGATTGGTCTTCTCCGATATGGCTGCAAGGAAGCCATAAACAAACTTGGAAACCACCTAGCTCTTGGACCAAGCCAATATGATACATTCTACTGCCAAAGTGTGAAAGTGTATGGAGAAGAAATTTTTACTGGAAATGTCGTGATCATTATCAAAAATTGGACAAATCCCTCCATTAACCTACTACCACGTTTTGAAAATGTTGACGGTCTAACGCTTAGGTATAAGCACAATGGTCAACCAGAAAACAAAATAAGTGTTTCAGAAAAACCTACCATTGCTGATCCTATTCGAAACAAAAAACCAGAAGTTTCAAGAATTGCAGCAGAAACAGAAGCAAATTTATCAAATAAAGTTACACCTGAACAGCCGGAGAAAAAAGAACCAGAGGAAAATGAGTAAAGAACAAAAAAAATGTCAAAACGTTGAAGTACTACAGATTGTCTGTGATTCGAGGTAACAAAACCCAAAAGAAAGAGTCAAAACGATTTGGGAGAAGGTGGAACACGATCAAAGTAAGGTATTCCAAATCAATCGGAAGAAACCAACGACTTTGAAATGGAAAGGCAGTTTTCGTCAGTAGACTCAACTGAACAAAATGAGGAACTTAATTTTGACTATAAAGATTGACGTTTTAAAACGTGCGGAAACGGAATCGTAAGAGTTTTCCTTTTATATTACACGTTTTTTTCTTCTTTCTCTTTTCTCTTTTCTAATTTTTTTTCTGTTCTCAAATTTGCTAAAATTTTCAATTTCTTGACGTTCTTTTCTTACAATAAATGTTCTTTTTGTAAAAAAAGAACATTTATTGTAATTTATTGTAACATTTATTGTAAAAAAAGAACATTTATTGGCGCGTATGCTGTTTTAATTCGTATTGTTGTAGAACGCGCCCCTTGTGTAAAATGTTATGCTTCAGTGAGTCCAGCTGTTTGTATTTCAAAATTTTATTACTCGTGCATTAATTTTAAGGGGTTTATGTTAGTTTTTTCATGTCAGGTAGTAAAAATATTATATTTATGTTTAAGCAACACGAGTTTTCGAAATAGGAAAACTGATCCTCTCCGTCATGGCAATTAATATTTTAACGTGCAACATAAATGGTCTAAACGACCAAACTAAACGCGAAAATTTTTTTAGGTTTCTCAAAAAGTCCTCTTTTGATTTTATCCTCCTTCAGGAAACAAAATCTGGATCTTCCACTGTCAAAAAGTGGATTGGCGAATAGGCTGGCAAGTCTATTTGGAATTCCGGTCCGAGTCATAACTGTTGTGGGGTGGCCATTCTATCTAAATCCAACGTTTCTTTAAACGAACTAAAAAGGGACAACAACGGTAGAATACTAAACATCATGATAAAAATTGATGAGCACAAAATGCAGGTGATAAATATTTATGCACCTAATGTGCCGAGAGAAAGGCGCCGTTTTTTCGGCGACCTTGGAGATTTCTTGCAGGACACAGGACTACCCGTCATGCTGGCCGGAGATTTCAACATGGTTGAAAGCCTGCCTCTTGACACAGAAGGCACGAACAACGGTAAATATCACACCTACGGCATTAATAAACTCGGGGTCTTCCAAGGTAAGTATAACCTAGTTGATGTTTTTCGTTTTAAATACCCAAACAAAAGAGAACTCACGTGGCGAAATTAGAAGGTAAAATGTAGACTCGATCGAATCTACTGCCCTGATAAAGTCGCCAAAAAAGCAACATATACTAAAATTCTCACCAATCCGTTTTCCGACCACGAGTTTGTGACAACAACCGTCAAATTTAGTAAAACTAGGAGAGGGCCAGAATACTGGAAATTAAATTGTTCCCTTTTGGAAATAGAGGTGCATAGGCAAAAAATTAAACTCTTAATTCAAGATTGGCAAGCAAAAAAACGGTCCTACAACTCAATTTTAAAATGGTGGGACGACTGCAAACTTTTTGTGAAGGTTAAATTACAACATATATCGATACAGGAAAGTGCGAAAAACAAAAAAAAAGTGAAAAGGATTAAAAAAAAATCCAACGGGAGCGACAAAACGCATCAAACATAAACGCGATGCTCTTTTCTTGCTCCAGTTTCCAGGAGCGTTTATTCACACGAAACAAAAACTAATCGAAGAAGGAGAAAAACCTTCAAAATTTTTGTATAATTTGGAAAAAGTTCAACAGCGGAACGAGTCAATTACCGAAATTCGCAAGAATGACGGCATATTGACGAGTGAGCCTGGTGAAATACTATACACCCTCGTTTCATATTACAAAAAAATTTACACCAAAATGAATTTATGTAAAGACTGCCAAAACTATGTCTTGTCACACATCACTAAACATTTGAGTAATGATGAAAATTAATTTTTAAACATCCGCCTAACCGGTGCGAAGTTAAAAGAAGCCCTTTTTAAATTCGAAAACGGAAAATCTCCGGGCTATGACGGACTTTCAGCTGAATTTTATAAAACTTTTTGGCACATATTATAAAAAAATTTTGAAGAGCTTGCTTACGAAATACTTTTTGTAGAAAAAAATACCAGCCACTCTATGAAAATTTTTTTTTTTTTTTTAAGTTTAATTCACCTCCTCAAGGCCGAGAAGGCCGCTACAGACGAGGAGGCTACTTATTCGTGGCTATAACCCTCTCTCAACTCTATAACTCCAAAACATGAACCTTGACGAACAAGGCCGCTGTGCAGAGAAACAAGTTGAGCGCGGTACTACCAGGGACGTGATGGGGATCGAACTCGGAACCACTCGTTTATGAAGCGAGCGCTCTACCACTATACCACTACTGCATTTCACTGATTCCCAAACAAGGAGATCTTACTAAATGCAAAAATTGGAGGCCCATATCCTTAATCGGCGCTGATTACAAAATAACCACAAAAGCGCTGGCCCTGAGACTTGGAAAAGTAATGGGGAAAATTATAGAACCAAATCAAACTTGCTGAATTCAAGGCAGAACAATATTCTCAAATTTACACTTAATCCGTGATCTAATAGATTACGTGGAATTTAAAAATCTACCTAGTTTTATTTTGTCAATAGATCAAGAAAAGGCGTTTGATAAAGTCGATCGTGCGTTTCTGCTGCAAATTCTCCAAAAATTTAATCTCGGAGAAAATTTTGTATCCTTCATTGACACCCTATATTCAGAAGTTTTGGCATTTGTTCTGAATTGCGGTTTCATGTCGGCCTCTTTCCTTACGGAAAGGGGAGTTAGACAAGGCGACCCTCTCTCTCTTTTGCCGTATGTTTTTGTCGCTAAAGCTCTTGCTTTGGTGATCAGAGCAGACAGCAGAAAAGGGTTTTCCACTACCAGGAACATCAAAACCCCTTAAAATACAGCAGTATGCTGACGATTCGAACTTTTTTGCCAGGGACGTAAAATCAGTCCGCTAATTTTTCGAAAAAGTAAAATTGTTTGAAAAAAGCAAGTGGCTTAGTGATCAATGCCTCAAAAACCAAGGGTCTCGCTCTTGGGGGTTATGATCCTAAAATGTACCCAGAATTGGATAACATAGAGTGGACCTATAACACCGGTTTCAAAGTATTGGGTATTACTTTTTACTCCAGGTTTAGTAATACTACCAATTTCAACTGGCTAGTAACTCTAAACAAAGTAGAGAAAAAACTCAAGTTTCTGGGACTACGTACTTTATTACTTAGGGGAAAGACTATGTTGATAAATACGCTAGCATTGTCAAAAGTGTGGTTTCTGGCAAATGTACTGCCCATTCCTGAATGGTTAATAGAACGTTTGCACAGCGCCATTTTCGAAAATTTGTGGCAAAAGACCAATTTCAATCTGGTCAAAAGCGGGGGTCTCGGAATCCTTTCACCGAAGAAGCAAAGCCTTGCGCTCCGCCTCAAAATACTCTTTCAACTGAAAGAATGCAG